CGAAGACAGAGGTCGTGGACGATCCGAGCATCATGCTCGCCTGAAAGATCAACTCGACAGCATGGCAAAATCACCGCGTCAAAGCGAAGGCCACAAAGAAGGAAAAGCTCATGCAGCAGAAAGCCGACAGAGGACGTGCTGGTGGCTGACAAGGGGTTGGGCGTACAGGTCGCGGATGTGGTGGAGGTCGGGGCCCGAGCCACGAGGCCTCACCGACCATGCAGACGCCGCCATGGCCGGAGCATTACAAAGCTCCGTACTACTACGCCGCCAAGCAGCTGGGTAGGCAGTCCCCGGCATCCGCCGCCGTGCCGTTCATCATCGACGTCAACATGGCATCACTGCTTTTCTCTAAGTGTTCATTGCCGCCGCTTGGCCGGACGCGGGTGGCGGGTGTGGAGCAGATGGGTACCCGCACGATGTTCGCTGGTATGCCCCTAAAGCGGGAAATCTGGCGTACGATGACGCAGACAGGGAGATGTATGAGATCATCCACGAGGGAGGCAGACGGGAAGGTTCCTATGAGGACAGGAAGGTGGATAATTCGGAGCCCACCTAGTACGACACCTACAACCAGCCAGGCATGGAATAGTACACCCAGTCCGGCACATATACCCAGCCGGACACGCACCAGGACTACACCTAGCTGGGCACGGACACACAACAACAGGATTGGGCCGCCGGGCAGGAGGAGGAGGAGGACGATGATAACGACGACGAGGAGGATGATCCGGATGGTTTCGACGACAATTCAAAGAAGAGAGGTAGCGTACAAAGCTTCACCATGCAAGAGGATGAGTTGTTGTGCGATGCATTGTTGACTACTAGCCTCAATCCGATCCATCGTCGAGGCCAATTTTTGTCTCCGGCTCACCACCTCGCCGGAAGTAGGATGCTTCCCTCGCTCGCTACGGCTAGGGTATCTACATCCGAGCCGAAAAAACCGGTCCCAAACGCCCGGGCGGATCGGTCAGTAACCGAAAAAAAAGATGAAACATCGACCCACCTCGAATCGGCCTCAAATGCCCAAGCTATACGTCACCTCTCATATCCTGTCCAAATGTAGGGCGGATATGGGAAAGGCCCGGGAGCGTCCGTCTCGTCATCCCGGCCCACCACCGACCCCATGCTCTCCCCACAAAAAACCCCAATCCATCCCCTATTCGAGCTCTAGCTCACTCTACTTTCCTCTTTCGCTCCGTCCCCCTCTCTCCCCTCTCTGATTCAAACGAAATCGTTGACATGTCGAGCTCAGTGGGGCAACAGTGGTGCCAGTGCCCGCCCCGTCGGCCCGCACAGACACGCAACGGACATGGGAGAGGGACGCAGGGGAGTAATCCGTGCGACGCCTCCGCGGGTTGATGGTGGAGCCTGACGAGGACGACCACAATGAAGTTTTATTCACATTGGATGCTTTAGTATGGATAAGGTATCGAATATGAGATACATGGATGTGGAGGAACAATTTGAGAAGTGTACTGTCAGTGCCCACGGGCATTTGAGGGGCCGAATTTGATGAGGTTTCCGATCCGGTTGGTGTTCCGACATCTCGAATTGAGGTGGCTCTAAACTCAGGTTTGCCTACCTCTCTAGTTACAGAGGGAGGAGAGGGGCTTCGTCTTTTTAGGTCTCTGAAAAGCCATTTGACATGTGCGATCCAATCAAGGAGGCAGTACTTCTGCATGAGTTTCTCTGGATCCTACTCGTCGGGATTACCGTGCTCCGACATTCTTTGTCCGTCCAGATCGCGATACATGTTTGTACTGCTCTGGATTGTAGAGGAACGAATTCCAGGCTACTTTAGATGGGGTGGGCTGCACCCATTCTCGGTTACTAGTTTTGCTGGAAGGGTTTTCTCCGTTGATCTTTTCCTTTTTTATGATTGGAATGAAAGTACGATTGTTTATCCAATCCAAACTATTTATTGAAGGAAAGTAAGATCAATAGTTGGCCCTATTGTCTGTGCTCTGTTCAAGGAGGGGCGCACAGCGGGGAGGGTCCTTTTTAGTAGATGACTCGTCGGGCCGTCAGAGCGGGACTTCTTTGGTAAAAATAACTTGATTCTATTCCTTTTTAGTAAGGAGGCAACATTTCCGCATCTCTACATGCTCTTAGAGGCTTTGAGCCTCGCGTCCGCTGCTCGCTGCTGGCAGTTATGCATGTTGGACGAAAAAGGTCGTGGGTAAGGATGGCAATTTTACCCATGGGCATGGATGCCCATGCGCACCCGACCTGCATGGGTAGCACTGGCGGAGCTAGCTAGGAATGGCTGGGGGGGCCAAGGCTAAATCATGGGTGTTTGAGGGTGTAAACTGCTAAAAAAAATCCTCATCTAAGCCCTTCTTCAAAAAATTCTTCATAGTTAGGTCCAAAGTTGGGGGGGGGGGGCACAGCCCCCCAGACTTGCACATAGCTCCGCCACTGATGGGTAGGGTATGGGCACATTTTCGTGCCCATGGGCAGTGTGCAAACCTTACCCAAGTAGTCGTATGTAGGACATGGGTATGATTTTGTCTCCATGGGTACGCACAGACCCTACCCGTTTTTCTTACCGATGGGTCACATGTGTAATAAACACTAGGCTACCTAGTCTTTCTATGTAATCAGCTCCATTTCTCACCCCCATCCTCCTCCAAACAACCAATTCCCCGACCATAGAAACCTCTCGGTGTCTGGAGTCTTCACCACACAATGGATTAACAATTACGCCACTACTCATCGACGTTGTGTTGAGCAGCCCCGTGGGTACTCATCGGGTACAAATACCCATAGGGTATGATCGTGTCATGGATATTTATCCGATGAGTATGATTTTACGCTCATGAGAAACATGGGTATGTGTATGAATTATTGTACCCGCATCATACCCCACCCATTGCCATCCATAGTCATGGGTTGCAACTGGCATAGGACATGGGATGTGAGCTAACGGGTTGGAGCAAGATTGGTAGTAGTAGCAAATTTGATTTGTTCGAGGGTAGGCTTCTGCCCCTTGAAGCCTGGTACTGGACTTCTGTATGTTTTGAACCAAATATTGCTCAACCACACATTTGAGATTTTTCTAATAAAAAACATTTGATATTCATATTTTTTGCAATAAACCATGGATGCCTCTTCCCTCCTCCAAGCTTGTATATATGAGTTTTCATTTTAAATAGCTCTACTTTCAAAACTTCAAAAGACGACCCTCGAGGATTTCAACTTTTTATCTTGAAAGTTCAAACTTTCCAACTCATCCCGACCAGCGAGGAACGATGTCTCTCAATAGGAAAGCAATAGAGTGTGGTGAAAGCAATGCGAGTCGTCTCTACAAAAATGAAAAGAGCTATGTCGGGGCATGGATGAAAACGGGAGGAAGAGAGCCGCACACCGAAAAGGAAAAAAAAGTCAAAGGGAAGTCGGAGTTTTGTCATGCGTCCGGGGTCATTGCACATGCGTGTCGCGCGAGGAGGAGAGAGAGAGAGAGGGAAGTCCAAAAAATAGGCACCCCATATTGCTTATATTTCATAATGTGCTTATTTTAGCCACTCCTGCCCTTTTAGGCTCACCCAAGAATTCACAGAGCTCCCTTCGCAAATCCACACAAGCAAATAGTCCCTTTCCTTCCTATATTCTCTCAGAAAAAGAAAACGGAAAAGAAAAAGAAAAAAGAAAAAGGAGAAAAGGGTCCCTCCCTTCCCGTTTGACTCGTTGACCCCGTTTTCCACTCGCGTCGCCGGCCGTTCCACGTGGCCGAAGTCCTCCACCGGTCAGCACATTCCCAGAGGCGGGACCCACCACGAGAGGCCCACAGGTCAGGGCCCCCCCTCCCGGCACGAGGAAAACCCCGGCCCCGCGCGCCATGGCGAAATCCTCACGTGCTTTTCCCGCCATCGGCAACCAGCCCCGCACGCAAGATCTCGCGCCGAACTTGGCATTGGCACTCCCCCGCGCGCCATAAATACGAATCCTCCATCCCCCATCCCGCAACAGCAACACATTCGTATCCAGGCATCGATCAGCGCGCGCGCGCGCACAGACTTCGACATTCATCGTCGGCTTCCGAGCGAGACCGGCCCAATCCTCCAAGAAAACGCGGCGGGGGATGAGGGAGGAAGGGCTGCGGACGATGGCGGAGGACGCGCCGGGCACCAGCGGCCGGCGGCGGCTGACGCGCGTCCGCACGCTCGGCCGGGGCGCGTCCGGCGCCGTCGTGTCGCTCTTCGCGGCCGGCGACGGCGACGAGCTGCTCGCGGTCAAGTCGGCCGGAGCCGCCGACGCGCAGGCGCTGCTGCGGCGGGAGGGCGGCATCCTGGCCTCCCTCTGCTCGCCCTACGTGCTCCCCTGCCTCGGCTCCCGCGCCGCGGCCGGCGGGGAGTACCAGCTCTTCCTCGAGTTCGCGCCCGGCGGCTCGCTCGCCGACGAGGTCGAGCGCAACGGCGGCTGCCTCGAGGAAGGCGCCGTCCGCGCCTACGCGGCCGACGTGGCCAGGGGCCTCGCGTACCTCCACGGGGAGTCCATGGTCCACGGCGACGTCAAGGGCCGGAACGTGGTCATCGGCGCCGACGGCTGGGCCAAGCTCGCGGACTTCGGGTGCGCCCGGAGCGTGGGCTCGGCGGGGCCGATTGGGGGCACGCCGGCGTTCATGGCGCCTGAGGTGGTGCGAGGGGAGGAGCAGGGCCCGGCCGCCGACGTCTGGGCCCTGGGCTGCACCGTCATCGAGATGGCCACCGGCCGCGCCCCCTGGAGCCACATGGACGACGTGGTCGCGGCGGTGCGCCTCATCGGGTACACGGACGCCGTGCCGGAGGCGCCCGAGCGCCTGTCGTCGGAGGCCAAGGACTTCCTTGACAAGTGCCTCAGGCGGTGCGCCGGCGAGCGGTGGACCGCGGAGCAGCTGCTGGAGCACCCGTTCTTGGCGTTCGCCGGCTGTGGCGCCGACGTCGAGTCGGCTGAGCTGAAGGGCAAGTGGGTCTCCCCCAAGAGCACATTGGACGCTGCAATGTGGGAATCTGACGCCGACGAGGATGAGAACGTGCCCGATGATGACACGGCCGAGAGGATGAAGGCATTGGCGGCCTTCTGCTCGGTCTTGCCGGACTGGGAGTCCGACGACGGCTGGATCGATGTATTGAGCTGCCAATCTGAGACGCCGGCCGAGCAGTCCTGCAGTGAAGCTCCCGATTCGCCGGCGGCCGCGCCGGCTGAGGAGGCCAATGTATATATTTGGGATGATGAAAGAGTAGAAGCAGAATCAGGAGTAGAAGAAGCTGGAGTCGTTGGTGCTGCCGTGCCGGTGGCCGCGGCGCCGCCTGAAGAGACGGCGTACGATTACGACGAAGGCTTCCGGGACGAAGAATCGTCGTTACTGCTGGAAGCAGAGTTTGACGCCGAGGCTTTCGACGTCGGCGGCGAGCTCGTTGTGCATAATGTAGGAGTAGCCGATGAAGCTTTAGTGAATCAGCAGCAGGAAGATGTACATTCGTCGGATTCGATCGCTAGCGATCCGGCTGTAGTTAGTGTTGATAGCGGTGAAAAAGAAATACTGCCAGTAAAGTCGTTGAAGATGCCAAATTTGCTCTATTTCTCGCTTCGTTTTCCTCTGTTACTTTCGCATTTTTACACCATGTCAGATCAGATCACAACGTGCACCACAAGATCACCTGGGCTATCACGGCGTTGAGCAGATGAGCAGAACGTACCACAAGCCCCATCCATCACTGGAAATGCACCCGCCTTCCAGCAACCGTTGGAGTTGAAACCGATGTGCTGGTCGACCCACCGGAGCGAGCGCATGAAAACGACGGCGTCTCATCCGTTTCCACTGCCGACAACTCAGAAACCCAATTCAACCGCACCCCATCTACCCGATGGATGGATCGTGCACGCGTTGCTCAAACTGGAAGCAACGGCGAGCGGAAAAAGGGCCCCGTGATCCCGTGGCGATCCTTGGCAATTGCTGACAAATGTGGCAAGCAGCAGAGGTACGTACGTGTGTGAACCTCCGATCAGCTCCATTGCATTGCAGAAACAGCTGGTCTGGCCAGCTTTTCGTGAGCCCATCGGCCAAGTGGCAGGCAGGGGCGACTGTGCAGTTGGGCGGCCGCGCACGCCGTCCGGCAGCTGCAGCTAGAGGAGCTGGCCAAGGTTGTTGGCAGGAAAGCACCATCGGTTGGGCGCACGGTGCAGTTGGTTATTGTCCATGACGCTCGTCCAAATCCGCCGGGTTACATCAGCGCCAAGATAGATAAATAGATAGATAGACACACATGCTTACACTAGATATTCGCCTAGATATTTTTACATACCTGGCTCTGGGAAGTTTCTACAGGGATGATCCAGGTTTGGGCGGAAGGGTCAGCTGCATCCTGGAATAATGTGGGCGCCTAACTAACTGAATATTGCGCCAGGCAGGGCAACGGGCAGAGCAGGCACGCGGCATCCGGGGACGAGGTCGGCGTGCCACTCCACAAATCGCTCTTCCGTTTGGTTTGACCGGTTGAGTTAGATATGGTATGATGTTTGTTCAGTAAGATGTACTGTAGGTATGATCTAGTATCTGCAAGATATCTAGTGATGTAATGGCAGAGTGTCTAGTGGTGTTTGGGGGAAGAAAATACCCTCGACGCTTTCTTAGAGCAACTTCAACCATCTCTTCTAAATTTGCCTCTCTAAACATCATTCTAGGACTCTACATTGGTGGACCTTTTTTGGGTGTCATGAGATGGTTGGTGCGTTTTTTCGCAAAAAAAGAAATGATTGGTGCGGATATGGTCATTGATGTAGTTGCCGACAGTGGATTTGATCGCCTACACATAGCTTGGTCTTGTATGAATTTGCTATTTGCTGATGTGTTCTTGTGTGTGTGCGCGTTAGCGTTGGTTGTATGCCTCCTAGCTATGCAGAAGCCGGGCATGTTCATTGTGTTTATATCCTCTTGATGCTCCGTTTCGAGCTAATAAAGTTCACTCTTTATCAAAAACCACCCCCCTAGACCTCTAACTTATTTTTAAATTCTCTTTGTGCATAACAAACAGAAAATAACATGGCCTCAACGGTGAGGAGGGTCAGGACTGGCGAAAGGCGCCAACAAACATATGAAAGGGGCAGGTTGGAAAATTTATGTTGGAGGGAGGGGGCTAATATTCGTCTTTCGTCGGCAATCATGAAAAACATGTGTATACAACCACCATTTAACGTGCCAGCGTATACTTGACAGAGTCGAACGACGATGTTTTTAACCGATTTTGCCACTCTCCTAACGAGCAAAGTGTAACCCTGTTGATTGGTGTGCCTCAAGTATCATTTGATACTCGGCTAAGTGTTGATCGACTCATTGACACTAGATAAGCTTTCCACGGAACATTTCTGTTCCAGGCATGCACCCTGAAGGGAAATTCGCTTGTCATATTGTGTAAGCAGAACGTCTAAATGAAAGTTATGTCTCACATGTTGCAAGAGCTCGCTTCTTTCAAACAAGAGATGGATTAAAGGAGCCGTCCCAGCGCTACCCGGTGTGGAAGAAGCTCTGGACATCGCCCGCCCCAGCAAAGATTAAGATCCATGCCTGGAAGGTTTTACACGGTTTCATACCATGTTATGGGGTGTTGGCAAATCGCCATATCGATACGTCTGATAGCTGCCCTATGTGTGTGGGTGGATGCGAAGACATTATGCACGCTCTCTTCATTTGTTCTAGGGCAGCTGAAGTCTGGAGATGTCTGAATCTTGACGGGTTCGTGGAGGAGGCGTGTGATACAGACAGGACGGGCTCGGTAGCGTTGGACTATATTTTATGTGCTCCTACATGTCAGACGTTGATCACAGATATCCCAGCTGTCGGTGTACAAAAGTAGGGGCTCTGCTTTTGACCCCTTTACTTGTGCACGGGCAGTCAGAGCCACCCGCCACGGCCGCGCATAACAGGGTAGGGAAGGGAAGCTGGAGAGAAGCCGAAGGCACAAGACAAACAAAGCAACATCAAGGGCCAAGGCCACAAAGTGCAGATGGGCGAAGCAGGTCTCCCCGGCAAGGCCCTTGCCGGGGGCGGCTTCCGCAGCCCCGACAAGCCTCTTGCCGGGGCAGCTCGCCCACACCAGCTGAGTGAGCCACCTTTGAGCCCACCAACGCTAGACAAACGCATTGGGACAGGGCTTGGGAGGCACCTCCGTGGTGGCATGCAGATCTTTGTGAAGACAAAGAATAGTCAAGATCAAATGAGGATAGGAAGGCAACAATCCTCGGCAGGGTTCTTACCAAGGAAGCCCACGAGACCCCCGGCAAGGTCCTTGCCGGGGATGACGGCGTGCCGCGGCAAGACCCTTGCCGGGCCACCTGGCAAGGCCCTCGCCAAGCGCACCAGCAGGGCCACTGCCAGGTCCATGTCAGCGAAGTCTCCGCCGCCGTTCGCATGCAGCTGCCGACCCAACCAGCTGGGCAGGCACCTGCGTGGCAACATGCCGCCCTTTGTGGAGGCTCCACCACCGCGCCACCTCAGCTGCCTGCCTGCCTACATGGCACCACATGCATCGCTGGCCAGGGCGAGTGTCAAAGCAAGGAGGAGCGGCGACGGAAGGGACGGGCCTCGCTCTCATCCCCGATAAAGTGAAGGGGCACCTAAGCCTCGCATTAAATGCACTTTGTCCTGTAATACCAGCGATAAGCTCACAGCGCTGTAGCACTTTCCACCTCTTGTGTGCCACTGTGGCAGCCCCTTTCGCCTATAAAAGGAGGCCCATAGCGCACTGGAGAAGGATTGAGATCTTTGGAACCTAGCAGCACCCAGAGCTAGTTCAAGAGCTCAAGAACACTAAATACATCCACCAAAGCAGGATCATAGGGTTTTACGCATCTTTGCGGCCCGAACCTGGGTAAATCCCCCTTTGTGCTGTCTGCTAGTCCCGCTCTTCTCACGATCCCGCGCCCCGCAACCGTAGTAGGGATTCCAGTGATCCCATAGGTGTCGTTTCCCACCGGCATCTTTGGCGCGCCAGGTAGGGGGTGCGCAATTGTGAGAATCTAGTCTACCAATTGACCTAGCTGTTCCTCATTGCCATGGCTCCTAAGAAGAAGACGACCACGGCGATCGGTTCGTCCGGGACCGAATTGCCAGTACCGGTGTAGACTAGTAGCGGGCCAGTCATGGAGAGAACCCGTGGCGTGGCCCGCGAACATCCACATCACCCTGGCGGTCCAGGCTTGGCGAGTGGCGTTGTTCGCGCGCCAGGCGACGAGCCACCAGTCGCAGGCTCCAGAGACGGAGTCGGGCCCCCCGCAGGCGGCGCGGGGCCCTCCAGGGGCGCCGCCATCCCGCCATACGGTGGCACGGTGACCTCCAAGACACCAACACCGGCGCCCACGACGCGCTCTTCTCAGGTTGTGCGTGATGAGCAGCGTCACCCTGCCGGTGACCCTGCGCGCCGCCCTGGGAAGAGTCCCGTGCGCCCATCACATGATGAGGAGGGCCAGCGTGCGCGCCGAGGTGCTGACGGAGGTGGCGAACGACTGCGGGACCGTGACGCGGCTCCTTTTAACGTGGTTAGAAGTCGAGGCGCATCGCGGTCCACCCAGTTTTTGCCGCCACCCACGCCAGCGGAAGCCCTAGCACGCGCGCAGCTGCTCCTCGATTTTCCTCCCGCCGCGGAGAAGCTCGACGAATGGAGGGCCACCATCCAGAGCCTCGTCGGCATCACCAACAACGATGAGTTGCGGCCGGCGGGACCCGTAGGCCGTCGCTCTGCCGGGCCACCGCATGCCAGTGGAGGCCATGCCGGAGGCGATGCGGCCACAGTGCACTCCCCTCCTCCATCCCGGCCACCCCGGGCGTCGGTCTGTCGCGACGACGCTCGTGATGATATCTCCATCGCGTCGTCCGACCCGCGAACCAACCGCGATCAGCGTCAAGTCCTTCGGGAGCGGGTTCATGAGGATGCTCGAACTACCATCGAGCGCCGACATGACGCGCGCCACCAGTCGGACAGGCGGGCAGGGCCCGCCACGGACCACCCAGCGCCGGGAGGCTACGGTGGCCTACCCTACGAGGTCAGTTGTCCGGCTTTCACCCGTGAGCTGCGGCAGTTCCAGTGGCCCTCCCACCGCACATTCAAGCCCGACGTTGGCGAGAAGTACAACGAAAAGAGTCACCCGTCAGAGTTCCTCAGCATCTACACCATCGCGATGCAAGCTGATGGGGCCCGTGACAATAAGGTGCTTGCCAACTACTTCCCGTTGGCACTCAAGCCTAATGTTATGTCATGGTTGATGCACTTGCCGATGGATTCCATCTCTTCTTGGGCGGATCTGTGCCATGAGTTTGTTGGCGCCTTTACCGAAGGTCACCAAGCTCATGGCCAGGCGAGTGATTTATACATCATCCCCCAGAAGGAAGGAGAAAACTTGCGCAAGTACATCCAAAGGTTCAGCCGGGTGCAGTACAACGTCCCCGATGTTCATCCTGCCGCCGTGATCAGTGCATTCCACCAGAATGTGTGCAACCGCAAGATGCACGAAGAGCTGGCGATGAACAAGGTCAAGGATGTGGCCAAGCTTTATGTCCTGGCCGATCGATGCACTCGCGCTGAAGAGGGGAGGAAGTACCCCGGCGAAGATGCCAGCGCGGAAACCGACTCCACTGGCGACACCGCCACCCCAGCGAAGAAGGGCCGACACCATAACGGGAAGCGC